GCATCCTAAGTTGCGGCTATCCAGTGATACAGGTCAACTCTGATACACATATTCATATGTTTCTTACAAAAAATACTGCATTAAAAAATAAGTAACAACTTCCATTTGATAAAGAACATGAGGAGCCCACTCAATGTATGAACGTGTGGCCACATATTGTGCTCTATATGTCCTCAGAGACACATATATACTTCTATTCAACTACATGGGGTGTACACAGTGCTATACAAAGTGTGTGCGCGTGCACACACACACACACACACCCCCCACCAGAATGTAATTCTACACACAAAAGAGACTATATTTTCAAACACTGAAATCTACTTAAATCACTCTCTCAATGATTATTCTCAAAGGTACACTTAGTCTCAAGCAGGACGGTGTTATATTTGGGTCTTTATCCCTGAGTTAAGAATGAAGAGCATCTGCCACAAGGGGAGCAGAAGCCATAGTCATCCCGTGGGATGGGAGGCCATCAGGAAGAAAGTGGCTAGCAGATTTCTGTTTTTCTCTGGAAATTTTCAACCCAGACCTACTCTCACAGGCACTAGGTGGGAATAAGAAGCAGCAGAGTCCACACAAGAGAACAGAAATCCAAGTAGGGCTCAGGCACCAGCCTAGAGCCCTGCACTTCCTTCTCCTAATCTTGACCCCTAAGATAGCAGTAGAGTACATTGGAGTGGTTGTTCAATGTTTCGGGAGTCCACCATGATATTCATGAGCTTCCTGTGGAGTTTCTTTTGAGTCATGGTTTTGGACAATTTTGGGTCATTTAAGTTAGCAATTACTTTGAATATCTGATGGAAACCATGGGCCCTCATCCAAGAAACATGCACAAATCTACAAACTTGTATGCATCTCAGGTGGCTAATGGATTCCCTGCAGCTCATCAGGGGTTCCCAGGTGAGGAATAGGCTGGAGACATCCAGAATATTTCTTTCCTAATTATGTGCTCCCAGTGTCTGCAAGTGTGCTCAAGGGCAGAGATGGATATGGATCAAGAATGAAGAAGAGTTTAAGCATGAAGAAGCAGGCAAACTTTATCCTGACAACATTCCCTGGCTTTACTCTACCTGGGTGGGTTACAGAGCCTAGCTGATTGTCATCCTAGCTATCAAGTCAGAAATGGTTAACGGTTAAAGTAAGTTACCTAGTCAATTACTTAGGCAGGCAGTGAAGTCTTTTTAGTAGAATATTTTAGTTCCAGAGTTAGGTAAGCAGCTGAGATACAACATGAGTCATTCAAACAACTAGTCAGGCAGGCAAAAGGGAACACAAGATGAGGGTTGAAGTGTGAGGTTTTATCATGTGTGTAGTTACATGCAACACCGTGATAACCCTCTGTAAACAGGCTTCTTTTCTGCCTGTAGCAATGTGAAAAGTATTAGTAAGCAAGTATGCAGAAAATTTAACTCCTGGGTCTCGAGATGAGCATACCATTTATTGGAACAAAAGTCAAGACACTGATAAGAAAAATCTACAAGGCAGAGGAAAGGAAGCATTAATGACTAGGACCCAGCTAATATTCTCTAATGGATGATGTAGTGCTGAGTGTGTCCTCTGGAATTGTCTCCATCAAGGGAGAAAACAGGGAAGTCTGAGCCAAATTATTGTTCTGTATCTCCTGATTTCCAAAGAATAACCCTAGGTAACAGGGGTGAACTTCTTCTACCTGTGGGTTACCTGACACTAAATTTAATTCAAATTCAATAACAATTTTAAAGGATCTCTTTAAGGTGGAAAGAAATGTCTAACTATTATCTCCAAGGAAAAAAAAACAACACAATTTTGAATAAAAGAATGAAGGACTTATCTACAATACAAAACATTACAAAGGAAGAGTAAACATCATCGTTAAAACAAATATAAACAAATAGGTAAAATAAAAAAGATCAGACAAGAGCCCAGAAATAAACCCACATATATATGGACAGCTAATTTTTGACAATGGAGCCAAGAGCATACAATGGGGAAAGGAAAGTCTCTTCAACAAATGGTGTTGGGAAAACTGGGCAGTCACATACAAAAGAATGAAAGAAGACCATCATCTTAGACCATGCACAAAAATCAACTCAAAATGGATTAAAGACTTGAATGTAAGACCTGAAACCATGAAACTTCTAGAAGAAAACATAGGCAACACGCTCTTTGATATCAGTCTTGGCAGCATATTTTCAAGTACCACGTCTGACCAGGCAAGGGAAACAAAAGAAAAAAATAAACAAATGGGACTGCATCAAACTAAAAAGCTTCTGCATAGCAAAGGAAACCATCAACAAAATGAAAAGACAACCTAACAACTGGGAGAAGATATTTGCAAATCATATATCAGATAAGGGGTTAATATCCAAAATATACAAAGAACTCATACATCTCAACAACAAAAAAACCAACAACCCAATTAAAAAATGGGCAAAAGATCTGAACAGAGATTTCTCCAAAGAAGATATATGGATGGCCACCAGGTACATGAAAACACGTTCAACATCATTAACTATCAGGGAAATGCAAATCAAAACTACAATGAGATATCACCTCACTCCTGTCAGAATGGTTATAATTAACAAGTCAGGAAACAACAAGTGTTGAAGAGGATGTGGGGAGAAGGGAATCCTTGTACACTACTGGTGGGAGTGCAAACTGGTGCAGCTACTATGGAAAACAGTATGGAGTTTCCTCAGAAAATTAATAGATCTACTATATGATCCAGCTATTCCACAGCTGAATATCTATCCAAAGAACTTGAGGGGCCGGCTCCGTGGCCAAGTGGTTGAGTTCGCGGGCTCTGCTGCAGTGGCCCAGGGTTCGGATCATGGGCGCCGACATGGCACCGCTCATCAGGCCACGTTGAGGAGGTGTCCCACATCCCACAACTAGAAGGACCTGCAGCTAAGATATACAACTGTGTCCAGGGGGGGTTTGGGGAGATAAAGCAGAAAAAAAAACAAAGAACTTGAAAACACAAATGCATAAAGATACATGCATCCCTATGTTCATCGCAGCATTATACACAATAGCCAAGACCTGGAAGCTACCTAGGTGCCCATCAAGGGACGAATGGATAAAGAAGATGTGGTTTATATACACAGTGGAATACTACTCAGCCATAAGAAAGGATGAAATCCAGCCATTTGTGACAACATGGATGGACCTTGAGGGTATTGTGCTAAGTGAAATAAATCAGAGGGAGAAAGTCAAATACCATATGATCTCACTCATAAATAGAAGACAAAAACAATGACAAACAAACACATAGCAACAGAGATTGGATTGACAGTTACTAGAGGGGAAGGGAGGAGGAAGCAGGAGGAAAGGGGTCGTTAGGCACATGTGTGGTGTTGGATTATAATTAGTCTTTGGGTGGTCAACATGATATAATATACACAGAATTCAAAATATATTATGATGTACACCTGAAAGTTATATAATATTATAATTCAGTGTTACTGCTATAAAAACAAAAATAAAAATAAAAAAAGATCAGAAATACATGATAAAAGGAAACTGGGTCCAACTTGAAGGGCCTTCTACTGGCCAAATCTGAGATAATTTGAGCCTTAAAAATAAGGTCAAAGGTTACAACTTATTAAATAAAGGAACAATCCGAGTCTACAGTGACATAGTAAATAAGTAAATAAAGAAATGGGGAAGAAAGGAAAACTTTCTTGCCATCATAAATGCAGAAGGAATAATGGAATTAAAAAAATCGCTTTTTGGCAACCATAAAAATTGGATCGTAAATAAATGTTAAAACTAGTGGATGAATGCTTGAGGAGTAACAGGATACTTTTAACCTAAAATTCTCTCCTCAAGTTTATTAATACAAAGAATAAAATGGTAACTTTATGGTGGAGAAACTTAGAAGACACCACCTTAATGACATGTTCTAAGTTAAGATCACCAGTAATGGCATTGATGACATACACCTTCACCTGTAGTAAGAAGAACCCAGCAGCACTTCTGTGGTATTGCTGCCAAAGGAGCATAACCTAAATCGAAGAACAGAGAAATATCTGACAAAGCCAAACTGAAGGGTCTTCAACAGAACACATGCTGAACTCTTCAAATATCCCAAAGTCATGAAACAGAGAGGCTGAGGAACTGTTTAAGAGAGACTAGACACATAACTACAGAATGCAATGTATAATCAGAGTTTTTTTGTTTGCTAAAAAGGACATTATTGGGAGAACTGGTAAAATGTCAATAAGGTCTGTAGGTTACATAACACACTATTTTACTAATGTTAATTTCTTGATTTTTATAAATGTACTGAGATTATTCAAGAAAATGACTTATTTTTAGGATATACACACTGAAGTGTTTAAGGGGCCTCATGTCTGCCACTTACGCTCTAACACTTCAGGAAAACTTATAAACTCAATCCATCCACCCATCTGTCTAAGAGAGGGACGAGGGTAAAGCAAATATAGTAAAATGTTAACATTTTGGGGAGTCAGAGTGACAGTCATACTTTGTATTCTTCTTGCAACTTTTCCACAAATCACATACAAATTTTAATAAATTAGAGAGAAAAACCTCAGAAACAGATTAAGGTATATACAGATCAAGTTATCAGATGTTATTGGCTATAAAAGAAAACCACAGAAAGAACATGGGTATTGCAGTTCTCAGGGAGTAAAACACTGCCTGATATATCTGCTTCTCACTACATATTATGTTACTTTCTCCTATTTCATTTCAAAAGTCCTAGGGCAGATGCTCATCGGCACATCTTCAATTAATGCTCTTCTCTGGAATAAATGAGGAAGTAGGAGGATGAGACAATTATTGGCCCACGTGGGTTATCTGTTGCCCTGTGGAGTACCTAGCAGACATTTGTAATACCACTACAAATGACAATTCATTATAAGAAACAAAGTATTCCAAATGAGTGGGAATGGTATGAAATAATCTAATGGTATAAGGACAATTGGCTATTCACCTAAAGAAAATATCACACTCCATCAAAAAAAGCCACAACACATAGTGGTCAAAGGATTTCTCAATTTAATGTGTTCCATATCTTTTACATGGGACTTAACTGGACACCACACTAAGTTCCCAAAGGAACCTATTAGTGCTGGTAACAGCAGCTATGAAGCAGAAATACTTCTTTTACACAATGATATTATGAATAACTTATTAATCATTGAGGAAACCCCTATAAACATTGTTCAGGGGTCTCACTGTACATAGCGGAGTCACTATCACTCTAAACCAAGCATTTCTGGCAGGGATAATATTGTCAAGGAGTCAAAAATTGGCTCCTGGGGGTAGCGGAGTGGGGATGAAAACAATCTTTTTAGGTATGAAGCACAAACATACAGTACATAAATAGATATACAATACATCTTTGATATGACACTATTATTGGGATAGGGCAATTAGAAAAGAATCTAAAAGGGCTATCTAGGGGGGAGTGATAATGAAAAAAGCTGGAGAAACACTATGCAAGACAGATATATGGAGGGTGTATTTCCATGTTTAGTCCAAGCCAAGGGTTTATCTCTGCATCTTTGAGGGAGGGGTGGCTCTGGAAGTGAGGAAAAAGTGGGGAGTGGTTCCTAGACAGCCATCCAATAGAATCTGTTCAAACTTCTACCATTTTTTTCCGTATAAATTCAGGAAATACTGGCCATGATGGTGGTGGTGGTAGTAACAGTAATAATACTTAATGTGCATAACTCTTGCCACATGCCAGATGTTCTTCCATTTGCTTTAGCTAGATTAACTTCTTTAATCCTCATAATAATCTGATGAGGTGATATTATCCCCAATTTGCAGATGAGGATACTAAGATACAAAGTTTACATAACCTATCCAATGTCCCATGGGCATCTAGGATTTCAGGATGTCCTCAACCACTATTTTAGGTCAACATTAGAAAGAAAACCACAGAGGACACAATATGACACTCCATTATAAAGAAGTACAAATGCAGACACTGCAGGGGTTACAGAGAATTAGGGTTCACACAATCCACCATATATAGGCAACTCACTGAGGCATATCAGGAATATGGAAGATAGGAATATTTTCTCTTACTGAGCATCACTGTTCACAGCTGCTCCAAAAATTAATAAGGCTCATTCTTTAAAATAATTGTGACTTTTTAATACTTTATATAAATACTGTTTATACTAATTGCATTGCTGAATCTGATACAACACAAAAATCTATAGAAAACATTGTCTGTCTTCATTGCTGAAGAGGCGGCTCAGTAAAAACGGCCTTTCCTATACATACATGCTAGAAGACAACAGGATGTGGCAGGGTTGCAATTTTCAAGTATTTCCCATAAAGTGTTTATTGGTTGTTAACACTTATGTAGAAAGTCATAGTTAATGTTACAATAAAGCAAAAGGTACAAAATTCCTACAATGACATTGGGTTCCAATATATACATCAAACAGCTAAGAGGCATGCTTATACATCCTCACATAGACAATCACAAAAGAGCTCAGAGAATACTTACGTACAAATTTGATGCTGTTCTAATTATGCAATTTTTTTCTGGCCTTTAAAAATTTCCTATTATAGTGAATGTCTATGAGTGTTTTGTTAAATGTTGAATGTTTTGATATTACTCACAAAGCAAGAGTTCTGATATAACAATTTTAGATAAAGCCTTTTACTTATTTTTCTCAAATTGGTACTTTTTCCCTCAAAGCAATCATTGATAGATAATAAAGTCTGAAGATTTGTTGAAAACTTTCACACATCCAAAACATTTATATTCTTAATTATCTAACATTCATTGAAAAATAATTTCTTGATAAAGGCTTCTCTCTATATGCTGAAATGTTGGCATTCTCTCTTGGTTTATTTCATTAATAATGAAGAATTGTGAATAAAAGCTGCAGATCATTCAGGCTATTGCCAGGGGTTTCTGTCTCCCATGTGACATTTCTGATGTACAGTAACTGCTGAAGTCTCACAGAAGTCATATTCAATAGTGTATTAGCTGAGAGATGGGTAGGATATGTCAGTAACAACTAGACATAAACATGTAAAATTTTACCAGGGAACAAGTTTATTTCTTCCTCACAAAAAGTCTAAGCGCTGGAAGTGGAGGAGGAAGCTGCTCCACACATTCTTGGACTCTCGCTCCTTCCATCTTGAGCTCTCTCATGTTCGGTGCAGGAGTCCCAAGGTTGCCCTGAGGATCTCCATTTCATCCTGATGAGGGACAATACAAACAAGAAAGATTTTGAGGAATGTCTTCTAATAAGATTTGTTTGTCACCAACGTCCGCTTTCCACTAGCCAGAGATTGGTAATACGGTCCCTCTTGGATAAAACAGTAGTTGGGAGATTAGACTAAGTGTGGGCCTGGGAAGAAGAGGAATGGTGAGAAAGTACTCAGTACATGCCATGTAGGAATTACCTACATGTAAGAGGGTGGACTTCTGATAGGAGGATTTCTGACGTCTTTTACCTTCATACGTCTTCTGTCCTGTGTTTTGATATACTATGAAGTCTCTCCCATCTATGTATTTTATACCATACTGAGAAAGTTGGCTTTTAGCCAACGTATTTACTATATTACACGTTTTCTTCACTGTGTGATTTATGTGGTGTTCAACGAAGTTTCATTACTGTCAGAAAGTCTGCAGATTTTTATAACTTTCTCCACAGTGTCAGTTTGTTGAGGGTTGAGTCCACACATAATATTTCCCATATTCATTGTCTTCAAGAGTTTCTTTCCTGGGAAAATTCTCTGAAATTCAATGAAGACTGTATTCTGGCTGAAAAATGCCCCATATACAGTACATTTCAAGGTTTTCTCTTTAATGTAAGTTCTCTGATACTTAGTGATTTCTTGCAGAGGAACTGTCTATGTATGTTAAGTTCACAAGATAGCTTCCATGTGCAAGTTCTCCAATCTTTTAGCCCAGATTTCTGGCTGTAATCTTTCTCACATTCACACACTCATAGAGTTCCTCCCTGTATGTGCTGTCTGATATACTGTGAAGTTTGATTTCAGACTAAGTTTTCCCATGGTCATATGCTTACTCCCCTGAGAGTCTTATTATGTTCTCTAAAGTATGACTTCTGACTGAAAAGTGTCCCATATTCATTGCATTCATAGGATTCCTTTTTTGAGTTCTCTGATGACTTCTCAGACCTGATGTCATGCTAAAAGCTTCCCCAGATTCATTACATTCATAGGATTTCTCCCCTGTGTGAATTCTCTGATGATTTCTGAGGTTTGATATCTGGCTGAAAGTTTTTCCACATTCGTCACATTTATAGAGTTTCTCTCCTGTATGAGTTCTCTGATGATCTGTGAGGTTTGATTTATGGTTGAAAAATTTCTCACCCTCATTACATTCATAAGGTGTCTCACCTGTGTGAGTTCTCCAAAGGACTCTGAGGTGTGATTTATGAGTGGAAGTTTTCTCACATTTGTTACATTCACAGAGTTTCTCCCCTGTGTGAATTCTCTGATGTACTACTAAACCCGCCTTCTGGCTGAAACAGTTTCCACATTCAATGCATTCATAGGGTTTATCCCCTGAATTGGTTACCTGATGTTTTCCTAGGCCTGATTTCTAGCTGAAAGTTTTTCCACTCTCATCACATTTATAAGCTTTCTCCTGTGTGAGTTCTCTGAAGCAGAATGAGGCTTGACTTTTTACAAAAGAATTTTCCACAATCGTTAACATTCATAGGGTTTCTCAGCTGTGGAGCTCTTTGATGTTCTCTGAAGCATGACTTCTGGCTGAAAGCTTCCTCACATCCATTACGTTTATAGGGTTTCTGCTATGTGTATGTTCTCTTATGTCCTCTGAAGTATGACTTCTGGCTGCAAGCATTCGCACATTCATTACATTCACAGGGCTTCTTCTGTCTTGCACGTATTCGCTGATGTATTTTAAATACTGATTTCCAGAAGAATGTTGTCCCACATTCACTACATTCACAGGTTTTCTCATTTGTATGAGTTCTCTTTCATAAAATGGGGTATGACTTAGAAGATTTCACACAGTCATTCCACTCACAGGTTTTTGCCTCTATGTTAGTTTCCTGATGGACACTGAAAGCTGACTGGGAGATGAAGGTTTTCCTCTGTGTTATAATCACAGGGTTTCTCCATTATGTGAGTTCTCCGAATTACTATGATTTCTGGATTATCAATGAAATTTTTTCCATATTCAAAGGGTTTCATCCCTGTGTCAGTTCTCTGATGTTCTTCAAAGTCTAATTTTTGGTTGAAAGTTTATCCTCCTGTGTCAGTTCTCTGAAGTTGAGTGATCCTACTGAAATCATTCCCATTTTCATTATATTCCTATCTATGAAATTCACTATTACTCTTCTTTTCTGAATGTTCTGTGAGACAATGAGGGTTGATTTATGACATACATTTTTTTCTAAATTTATTTATTAGGTTTCTCTTTTGCGTGGGCACTTCTAGGTATAATAAGGGCAGTCTTATCGCAGAAAACTTTTCTATGTTGATTATATTCAAAAGCTTTCCCCAAAGTCTGGATTGTCTGATGCTTAATAACTTCCTTCTTATGATTGAGAGCTTTCACATTTTTATTATATTCAGAAGATTTCTCTTCAATGTAAGTTCTTGCATCCCTAATACTGAAGAGCCATTTTCACATACATTAAATTCATTATCCTTCTTTCTTGAAGATTTACAGTGTTGAGCCAATAGGATGAAACCCAGGTATGTAGGTCCTGCAGTATCATAATTACAGGGCATTTTTCTTGAATGAAAAATGTCAATGCCCAATTATATAGCGTTCCTGAGTGTTTCTCTTGCTCTGCAGTCAATGTGTTGTCATTGATGAATAAAATCTGCCACAAATGTTTGTCTTCATTTTCCTAGCTCTTTTCTAGGAGGTCATCAAGTTGGCAGTCTTCCAAAAATGAGAAAATTAGGAACATCATATGAAACATAAGACATTTCTTATGGAATGGGGCTTATATACATATCCCCTATTATATATTTATTTGACTCTGGTTTCCAGTCCAGTTTTCCAATAATAAAGTAATTCCAAGTGCATATTACCTACATTTTCTTTCTTGGGAAAAAAGAATTGTAGAGAAAGGGAACTGGTATGGAGTATACACGTTTTTTGCATTTACAGCTCACTTGGATAATCCAGACTAATCTCCTCATCTCAAGACCCTAAAGCTAATCACATCTGCAAAGTCTCTTTTGCCAGATTAACATTCACAGTCTCCAGGGACTGAGACTTGAGTATCTCTTGGGGACACTATTCAGCCTACCACACCCTATTATGCATTTCATTTGTTCCAGGCACTGAAATACAACCTTAAACAAAGCAGACTAGATTAGAATAAGCATTTAGGCGGGTATGACTAATCCAAAACTTGATGGATTATAGCAAGCATGATCAGCACCGCCAAATGAAGCAGAAAGGTATGTGGGACAGAAGTGGTACCACTGAAAACTTTCAATTTTGGCAGATAATTACAAATTCTGAAATACGATTTCAGGGTAAGAAGAGATAATGAGTGCTTCAGGGAATAATAAACACAGAGGAAGTGGAGAAGTAGACTATATGAGATGAGAGATGTCATTTAAATACAGTGGACATAGAAAGCCATACTGAGAAGGTGACATGACAAGATCTGACTTACCTTTTATATAAAGGCAAATCCTTTGCTGGGTGTATCCGTAACAAACATCATCTCCCATTCTTTAGTTTATCTCGTTTTGCCTTTTTGCAAACAAATTTGTTAGATTTTGCAAACCTAACAAATATGCAAAAAAAACTCCTCTGTGCAAGTTAACAAGCAGCATAAAATGAACACCTATGGAATCACCATCCAGGTCAAGAAACAGAAAATAACTAGATTTGGAACACCCCTTGTATTCTTTCTTGAGTACAAATTTTCCATGCTTACAGGTCACTTCTCTCATGAAACTTATAATCACTTCCTTTTCTTTATAGTTTTACAACCCATGCATACATCCCTAAAAAAAACACAGCTTGGTTTTATCAGTTGCTTTATATAAACTGAATCATAGAGCTTGTTATAATCATTTCTGTCTTCTTCTTTTGCTCAACATTACTTGTGAGATCACCCACGTTTTTGTTTGTAGTTGAAGGTCAGTCCATTCCTTTTGCTGTATGACACTCCATGGACTACTAAGAGGAGCAGAATGGCCTGGCTCTGAGGTTTCCTATTGTTGCTGTAACAAACTACCACAAAGGTAGTGGCTTCAACATTCCAAATTTATTATCTTACAGTTTTATAGCTGGGAAGTACAACACAGGTCTCACCAGGTTAAAAATCAAGGTGTTGGCAGAGCAGCATCCTTTTGTGGAGGTACTTAGGGAGACAATCTGTTCACTTCTCACTTGGGTTGTTGGCAGAATTCAGTTTCTGGCAGTTGGAGGACTGTGGTCCTTCTTTCCTTGCTGGCTGTCAGCCAGCTCACAGAGGATACCTGCAGTTTTTGGCTCATAGCCCCTTCCCTTCCTCCATCCTTAAAGCCAGCAATGGTGACTGCGTCCCCCTCACCCTTTGGATCTCTCCAGTTTCTTCTTTGGCATCTCTCTAACTCTTCTGCTTTCTTCGTCCTCTATTAAAGGCCCATGTTATTACTTCGGGCCCACTCAGATAATCCAGGAAAATCTCCCTATTTCAAGGTCTACCTCTACCAAGTAATTGAAAATATTTAGATGTAAAACCAGGGGGCAAAGATCATGGGGGCCCAAATCCTGTTTACGACAGGTATACATACCTTTAAGTTTCCTGGATTAACACCCAGTGACATCAAAAGCAAGCAGCAAGCAAGTTAACAACTCCACAAAAGCAATCATATATATATACACACATATATACACATATACATATATATATATGGGCTTAGTAGAGTTTTAATAAAACTTTATTTACAAAAACTAGCAGCTGGCTATAATTTGCTAACCCCAGTTCTAGAGTTTCAGTTGTTCACTGGATTTGACAAGAAATCAAAGCGGTATATTAAGCTCTACTATACCTCATGTGTTCCTAGTTCTCCTTAAGTCTTGCAGTTTTTGTTTTACGCATCATGATGGTAATATATTTGGTGCACATATAATCAATACCTTTATATTTCCTTTTTAAACTGTGTTCTTTAGCAATATTCAAGTGCTCCTTTAGTTATTTAATGTTTTTGACCTGAATTCAACCTTAAGCAGTAGTTAAACGAACGCTGAGCTATTTGTATTTTATTGACTTAATAATTTATTATTTTGCATTTCAAACTTTCCAAGTTATTTCATAGGTATTGTATTTTGATAAAAATCTAACATCATATTCTATTAATAGGTTTTAAAATAATTTTCTATTGATTTTTCTAATTTTAATTGCTTTTATAATCTTAGTTTTTACTATTAAATATAACTGCATTCCTTGGTTTGTCAGATGTAAATGAGATACCTGGGCTCCTAGACATAAGAATGACAAGATGAACATGCTTCCATTGCATCCCTCATGTGACACTTTTCCCCTTCCACATTTTATGGGATCTAGTTTTCAAAGCTTCCAAAGATAAATGTGTCAGAAGTGTTCACCTCTAACTGTCCACTTTGGATCTAATTTCCCCTGGACACCTTCTGCTATTGCTCAGTAACTCACCTGGGGAGCTCCTGTTTAGGAATTCTTCCTCTAACAAATACGGCTCTTCTCCTTCCTCCAAGTTGAAGACCACTTTTGGTTTTGTAAAACAATACCCTGTAAAAGGCAAATAATTTAAAATATGGGTCAGCTGAATAGGCTTCAGTGTTTCTGAATGTCTAGGAAGGTCCAACTGTAAGAACAGGACATTGAAGGTGCTCATGTGACCCCTTTATGGGGATGGTAACAACAAAAATATATTCTGATGCTCAAAAAGTACCAATCTCCTTGAACTCCTGAATCACACACCTAAATAACATCAAATTCCAATAAACGTCCACATATACTTGGTTTTAAAAAAGGCACTACATACAGACTTCCACTTCTGCAACAATGGAATAACAGATCGATTTACCATCCCATGTCAAACAACTGGAAAACCACACAAAATATATGAAACAATGGTTTTTAAACATTGGACAATAGGCAGTAAATGATGTCATTTGGTGAAAGGAATGGTACAATGTCACTTTTGTATATTGAGAAAAGGGAAATAAATGAGACGTATCCTATAACTGACACAGCAGAGAGTTTCTAGGCACAGAAAGAGGATATCAAAACAGAGCCTGGCGATCTCAGTAAGTTGAGGGAATAAGAGTTCGAAGATTGGCCCTGAGCTAACATCTGTGCCAATCGTCCTGTATTTTTTGTATGTGGGATGCCGCCACAGCACGGTTTAATGAGCAGTGTGTAGGTCTATGCCTGGGATCCGAACCCACGAACCCTGGGCTGCCAAAGCAGAGTGAGCGAACTTAAGTACTATGCCACTGGGCTGGCCCCCAAGTTCAAAGTCTAGAAAAGGCCTGGCAACTAGAGTCTTGGGGCAAAATGCTGGAGAAGAAAGCTGTACTGAGATAGAGCCGTGGAGATATACAGAAGGGTCCCTGAGTTTTTGGCTGAGTAGTCAGTTGAGGATGCAGGTAAGGAAACTGCTCAGGGTTGGGAAAGATCAGTGAAAAGGAATAGACTGAAAATTGCCAAAGCACATGCAGGGTTGGGAAGTGTGTATTTCCCCAGCCAGAGGTGAAGGTGCTAACCCATGGGAAAACACGGGAGATCTGGCAGGACAGCCTAAGGGTTGTGCCTTAGTAGAGACCAGATGAGCCCTGCCTCAGAGAGCGCTCTAATTCCACACAATAAAGCTAAAAAGAAGGTCCTAAAGGATCCAAACTAAGTCCAAATAACTGCATCCCAGAGAGTGGGGAAATATGTTAAGGCAAACACAAACTACACACTGCCTATAAGAAACCCATTTTAAACATAACACAGGTTAGAAATAAAAGAAAAACAATACCTTGCAGACACTAAACAAATGAAAGTCAGGGGGTTACAGTTGCACCACATGAAGTTCAGAAAAAGAAATATTGTCTGAGACAAACAGGACATGATGCATAACAACAAAGAGGATAATTCATCCAAAGGATATAACAATCACAACAGATGGCAGATATGTCTGGTAACAGAACTTCCAAATGCACAGAAAAGCCCGATGGAATTGGAAGGCTTGGCAAATCCACAGTTACACTTGGACATCAATACAACTTCCTCAGTAACTGAGAACAAGTAGACAAAAACTCAGAGAGAATGTGGAAGACTTGAATAATACAATCAGTTTGACCTAATTTTCATCTATACAACACGAGATACCAAAACAAAAAAAGCATTATCTTTAAGCACATATTGAACATTCAGAAGGATATATCATATGCTGGACCATAACAATTTTCAATAAATGAAAAACATTAAGTTCATGTAGACTATGTTTTCTGAACAAAAAGGAATTCAATCACAAACTAGTAACGCTAAATAATTAGGTAAAGCCCAACTACTTAGAAATTAAACAACAGACTTCTGCACTGCCAATCTGTCAAAGTATAAATCATAAGACAAATAAGAATATAATCTCGAACTAAATGAAAATGAAAACAGCATATATAAATTGGGTGATGCAACTAAAACAGTGCTGAGAGAAAAACATATAGCCTTAAATGCTTCTATTAGAAAAAAGAAAACTTTCAAATTATGATCTAAGCTTCTACCATAAAATGTTAGAAAAAAGGCCAAATTAAACTAAAATTAAGTAGAAGAAAGACAACAAAAAAATGAAACAGAAGTGAGGAAAATAATTGAGGAATCAATGAAACTAAAATCTGCTTATTTGAAAAGATCAATACACTTGATAAACCGGCCATGTAAAAAAGAAGATGCAGGTGCTGGCCCTGTGGCTGAGTGGTTAAAGTTCCACACACTCAACTTGGGTGGCCAGTGTTCGTGGGTCTGGATCCTAGGTGCAGACTTGCACTGCTTGTCAGCCATGATGTGGCGGTGACCCACATACAAAATGGAGGAGGACTGGCACAGATGTCAGCTCAAGGCTAATCTTCTTCAAGCAAAAAAAAGAGGGAGATTGGTGGGGCTGGCCTCGTGGCCGAGTGGTTAAGTTCGCGCGCATCCGGGCGGCGTCCCACATGCCACAACTAGAAGGACCCACAACAAAGAATATACAACTATGTACTGGGGAGCTTTGGGGAGAAAAAGGAAAAAAATAAAATCTTTAAAAAAAAAAGAGGGAGATTGGTGGTGGATGTTAGCTCTGGGTGAATCTCAGCAAAAAAAAGAAGATGCAAATAACTAATATTGAGAATGAAAGAGGGGATATCAATATTGATGCTACAGATACTAAAAGGATAATAAGGAAATATTATAAGCAGCATTATACCAATAAGTTCAATATCTTATATAAAATTGTCAAATTCTTTGAAAGACACTACCTATCAAAGCCTGTTCAAAAAGGCAGAGGAAAAAAAGCTACCTGAATAGCAGTATACCTATTAAAGAAGTTAAATTTATAATTAAGAACTTTCCAGGTTCAGATAGCTTCAGTGGTGAATTCAACCAAACATTTAAAAAAGAAATAATACGAATTCTATACAAACTTTTCTAGAAAATGGTAACACATTTCACTCACTCTATGAAGCAAGAATTACCATGACATCAGACTCAGGAAAACACAATAACAAGAAAATAAATCTACAATTATCCTTTTAGAAATATAGATGCAAAAATCCTTAAAAAAGTGTTAGCAAAATATAAAAAAGGTTAACATGTCATGACCAACTGGGGTTCTATCTCAGGAGTATAAGATTTTTGAACATTCAAAAATCAACATAATCTCACATCACATATAAAAATAACTCAAAGCGGGATGGATCAAAGACTTAAATGTAAGAGTTAAATCTATGCAATTCTTAGAAAAAACACAGGAGAAAGTCTTCATGACCCTGGATTCTTAGATCATAACAATGATCTTATATGCACGACAATGGTGTTTTAGATGTGACACTAAAACAAGCAAAAATAGATAAATTGAGTAAAGAAAAAATACGTAAATTGGACTCCATCAAAATTTAAAACTTTTATGCCTCAAAGGATACCATCAAGTAAGTGAGAAGACGACCTACTGAATAGGACAAAATATTTACATATCAAAAATATTCAATAAGGGACTTGCATCTAGGATACATAAACAACTCTCATAACTCAACAATAAAAAAACAAGTAACCCAATTAAAAAACAGGCAAAGGATCTGAATAGACATGTCTCCAAAGATATAAAAATTGCCAATAAGAACATGAAAAGATAGTCAACATTATTAGTCATGAGAGAAATGCAAATCAAAACCACAATGAGATACCATTTCACATCTACATAAAACGGCTATGATTAAAGAAATAGGAGATGAGGATGCAGAAACTGAAATTCTCACACATTGCTGGTGGGAACGTAAAATGGCCTAGCTCTTTTGGAAAGAGTCCAGCAGTTGCTCAAAAGGTTAAACACACAGTTATCATACGAATTAGTAATTTCATTCCTAGGTATATACCTCAGAGAAATGAAAACTAATGTCCACACAAAAACCTGTGCATGAATGTTCATAGCGGCATTATTCTTCATATTCAAAAAATGGAAGCAAGCTAAATGTCCATCAACTGATGAATGGATAAAACCTGGTCTATCCATAAAATGAAATATTATTTGGCAATAAAAAGAAATGAAGCACTGACAGATGCTATAACATGGATCAACCTGGAGAACATGTTACGTGAAGGAAATCAGACACAAAAGACCACATATTGTATGATTCCATTTATATGGAATGCTGAGAATAGTCAGACCCATAGGCACAGAAGCGGATTAGTGGTTGCCCAGGGCTGAGAGGGATGGGAACGATGGGGGCGTGTGTGGCAGTTAAAGGTATGAGGTTTTCCTTTGGGTGATGAAAATGTTCTAAAATGGATTGAGGTGATTGCACAACTCTGTGAATATACTAAAAAAGTTCTGAATTATACACTTAAAAATGGATGAATTTTATGCTATGGAACATATCTCAATCAAGCTGTTACAATAAATCAATGTAATTCATAATATTAATCAAATAAAAAAGAAAAACCATACAATCATCTCAGAAGATAAGGAAAAGGCTTTTTACAAAATTCAACATCCATTGATAAATTAAAAAAGAAAAACTTCAGCAAACTATGAAGAGAACAAATTCCTCAATCTAATAAATGGCAACTCTGAAAAACCTACAGATAACATCATATTTTGTGTTGAAAGATGAATGCTTCCCCCTAAGATGAGGAATGTGGCAAGGACGCCTCCTCTTGCAATTTGTATTCAGTATTATTGGAAGTCCTAACCAGTCCTAACCTAACTAAAGAAAAATATATGCAGGGGCCAGCCTTCTGGCACAGTGGTTAAGTTCACATGATCTGCTTTGGTGGCCTGGGGGTCGTGGGTTTGGATCCTGGGCTAGGACCTATACACTGATCACAAAGCCATGCTGTGGCAGCATCCTGCATACAAAATAGAGCAAGATTGGCACAGATGTTAGCTCAGCGGCAATCTTCCTCAAGCAAAAAGAGGAAGATTGGCAAGAGATGTTAGCTCAGGGCCAATCTTCCTCATCTAAAAAAAAAAAAGGAAAGAAAGAAAGAAAGAAAAATATATGTCAACTAATTGTATTTAAAGACACTTCCAATAAACAACTGAAAATTAAAAGTTAACAAATTTCCAACTGCAAAGGGTAGGTCTCAGATTATACTTGTAAGACAGTGTTATGGGCTGAATTTTGTCTCCCCTTCCCACCTCAAATTTTTATGTTGAAGTCCTAACACCCAGTACCTCAGAATGTGACTATATTTGGAGAGAGGGACTTTAAACAGGTAATTAATTTAAAATGAGGCCATTAGGGTGAACCCTAATCCAATCTGACCAGTGTTCTTGTAAAAGAAAATGTGGACATACAAGAAGACAACAGGAGGCACACACAGAGGAAAGGCCATGTAAGGACACAGGGAGGAGGTGGTTGTCTGCAAGCTAAGGAGAGAGGCCTCAGGGCAAACCAAACCTACACCGTGATCTTACATTTCTAGCCTCCAGAACTGTGAGAAAAAAATTCCTGTTGTTTAAGCAACCCAGCCCATGGCATTTTGTTACGGCAGTCCTACTACAGACAGGTACACTGAAAACCATAAAATATTGCAAAGAAAGAGAAAAATCCCAAACAAAAGGAGAGAGACATCATTTTCATGGAACAGAATGACTCAATATTATGAAGATGTAAAATCATTCCCAAATTGAGCACAGATGGGGGACAATCCCAGTTGGAATTCTGGCAGGGCTTCTGAAGACACTGACAAATAATTCTAAAATTTATATGGGAATGCAAAGAAACCATATGTGCCAAAACAATTTTCAAAAGATGAACAACACTGGAGGACTTAGCCTTTCTGATTTCAAAACTTATTACAGTTACATTAATCAAGAGTGTGGTATTAGCATAAAGATAGACATACAGATCAATGAAAGAAAATATAGTCCAGAGAGATCCACACTTTATGGTCAATGTATTATTTTTTTATTTTTATTTTTTATTTTATTTTTTTTAAGGAAGATTAGCCCTGAGCTAACTACTGCCAGTCCTCCTCTTTTTTTGCTGAGGAAGCCTGACCCTGAGCTAACATCGGTGCCCATCTTCCTCTACTTTGCATGTAGGACACCTACCACAGCATGGCATGCCAAGAGGTGCCATGTCCGCACCCGGGATCCAAACCGGCGAACCCCAGGCCGCCGAGAAGCGGAATGTGCGAACTTAACCGCTGTGCCACCGGGACGGCTCCCAAATTATTTTTGACAAAGGTGCGAAGGCAGTTCAATGCAGAAAGAATAACTTATGCATCTGTTATTGCTGATATAATTGGATTTCAAAATGTGAAAAATAAACCACAACTCTAGTCTACACAATATAGAGAAATACCTGGCAATGGATCATAAACTTCGTGTTAAACATAAAAGTATAAAACTTCTTGAAGAAAACAGGAGAAAATCTTAAGTGTGCAACAGAAGATTCACCTTGCCCAAAGAAAGTTTTGGCTTCTTTCCAGCTCCTGGAGAGGTAAGCCTAGGGTACTGGGATGTCCTGCCTGCTAAGAGTGTCTTTGTTTACCTAAGGACAATGCTAACTATGTGATTTATGGTGGGTAGGGCCCTTGGGCCACATGGTCTTGGTTTGACGTCTGGAGGGGCTGGAGATTGAGGTTAGCCAAGCAGGCCATCAGCCATGTCTACATTACTGACTCCCAATAAAAACCCTGGAGACCAACGCCCGGGTGAGCTTTGCTGGTTGGCAATACTCTGTGTGCATTACCATACACCCTTGCTGGGAAAAAAGAGGACTGCCCACATGACTCTCCTGGGATAGGACAGCTGGAAGCTTTGTACCTGGTGTCTCCTGGACTGTGCTCTACGTGCCTCTTCCCTTTGTTGATTTTAGTCTACATCCTTTTGCTGTAATAAACCATAAACAAGAGTATAATGGCTTTTCTGAGCTCTGTGAATCCTTCTAGTGAATCCTTGAACCTGCAAGTGGTCTTGGAGACCTCCCAAACTGCACTTAGTGACTTTGCATTAGACAGAGATTTCCGAAACAGAACACAAAAACGCATCTGCAACGTCATTAGCCATTAGGGAAATACAAATTAAAACCTACTAAGCTACAACTAGATACCCAACAGAATGGTGAAAAATAGTAAGACTAGAAGACCAAGTGTTAGGATGTGGAGCAACCAGAACTCTCATTCCTTGTTAATAGGCATGAAAGCAATATAACCCCTTGGAAACATTTAGCCGTTTTTTACAAAGCTAAACATACAGTTTTCCTAAGATCCAGCGATCAACTCCTCAGTATTTACGTATGAGAAATGACAAATGTTCACACAGATTTGCACTCAAACATTCATAACAGTTTAATTCATAACGGCTCCAAATTGGAAACAACCAAAATGTCTATCAATTGGTAAGTAGATAACAGACTATATATGTACAAATGACCACAACTCAGAAATAAAAATAACAAACTACTAATGTACAAAATGTGTTTGAATCTCAAAAGCACTATGCTCAGTGAAAGAAGTCAGGCAAAGGAGAGTATATGCTGTATGATTCCACTTACACGTAATTATAAAAAAGGCAAAACATGGTAGAAGCTGAATAGTGGATGCGAGGACCCTGGGGGAGTGGGAGGATGGGAATGACTACAAAGGGCTACAAGGTACACTTTGGGGTGATGGAAATATTCTATATCATGATTTTGGTGACAAAAATCAACTGTATATATTTCTCAAAACTCAATAATTGTACAATGAAAACTGTTGAGTTTCGTTTTTTGTTAAATACACCTCCACAACAATAATTAACATTAAAAAACAAAAAACAGGTTACATTCTAGAGGGAGTCACATGGTAAGGTCTGCTCACCCACGGAGACCAGGTGGCTGTAGATCTCCAGCATCAGATCTCTGTACAGGGTCCTCTGAGCAGGGCCCAGGTGCCGCCACTCCTCTTGGGTGAACTCCACAGTCATGTCCTTGAATGACACTGCTGCCTGTAACAGCACATTTCTATTCAATATGGAGAATTCAGAAACAGGAGACCTGGAAAATATCTTTGGGAATTAATTCTTATCATGTTTACTGTCGAGAGTTTAAGACAAAATGCTATAAAGGATGCCTATTATGGCCCTAACTTTGTCTTATACTTTGGGGTTCTCATACAATTAGTACAAATATTACTCTCATATCCTAATTAATTTGTATGTACTTATATTATAAACCTACATTACCAGTTAATCTAATACTGATAATGGCAGGTAGAATAACGGTGCCCTAAAGATCTTCATGACCTAACCTGTGAACACGTTACCTTCCAGGGTAAGGGGGACTTTATAAATGTGATTAAGGTTAAGCACTTTGAAATGAGGGTATTAGCCTGAATTATCTGGGTAGACCCACCCTAATCACACAAATCCTTAAGAGCAGAGAACCTTTCCCAGTTGTAGTCAGAGAGACTGACAACAAAAGATGGCTTGGGGGAGCGGGGTTATGATGCTGCTGGCTTTGAAGATGGAAGAAGGCAGCCAGGAGGCAAAGAATGTGGGCTGACCTCTAGAAACAATGAAAAGGCAAGGAACCAGATTCTCCCGTATGGCCTCCAGAGGAATGCAGCCCTGCCAACATCCTGATTGTTGTCCAGGGAGACCTGTCAGACTTCAAATCCTCAGACTTGTCAGATAATGAACTTGTGTTGATTTAAGCCTCTAAGTTTGTAGTCATTTGTTATGACAGCAATAGAAAACTAATACACTGATCAAGCTTAGTGCTTTATTTTTTTAAGATAAAATTATTATAAGTAGGCCTCCTCTAATCTTTTCCTGTACCCCAATGGACTGTCCTGAGCACTCTCTAGGGTACGCACACCCCACGCAGAATTCTCTGCTGGGATAATGGGGAACCAACAAAGATACATGTAAGCCCTGGAGGTGGCACATATGACTGGACTCGTCTTTCAAGAAGCAATGCTCTAGAAGAGGCGTGGAGAAAATCTTAAAACAGAAGAAACCAACTTAAGAGATGACCAGCTATGTTAAGGCAAAGCAATGGGAGTGAAGCACAGGACACTAAACCTCTAAGAGAAAAAAACAAAATCCGGTCATTAATTTCTTGGGCAGCTAGAGAGAGAAGGTGCGTGAGAAATTGGGTGGGTGATGGATGATGCCATAAATTGAGACTAAAAGAACAGGAGAATGGGGTTGGGCAGAAGCAGAACGTCATAGTGAGCCCAGATTCTCATTTTGTATTTAAAATCTCTGCGAGCAAAGAGGTGGAATTATCCACACCACAACTGTCTGTATGATTTTGGAGCACACATGAGAAGTCTAGGATAAAGACAAAAATTTAGGAGATGTTAGCCATTAAGGTGGTAACTGAAGTCATCAGAGGGAAAGACCTGGCTCAGAAAAGACATATAAACCTAGGAGAGAACTGGCCAAATACAGAATTTGAGAGAACACCAATATTTAATTTCCTCTTTCCTGTTTCACTCTTCCCTGTACAGCCATGCACTCAAGTCATGGTCTTTGGGTCTGGGGGAACTCATGCCACATCACCCTTCACAATGGTTCCACATGTCACTTCAGCTGAAGCCAGACACTCAGCAATGGCCTTCAAGATCCCACACAACCCACCCTCTTTATCTGTTTTGTTACTCCCCGTATTTATTCTGCTGTAGACACACTGGCCTCCTAGCTGTCCTGGAATCCCTTTAGCACTACGCTGTCTCAGGGCATTTGCACAGGTGTAGGGTCACGCTTGCCTGGCACTAGCCTATGTCCCCAGTATGCTAACCATCTGGCAGTGTAACTGTTTTTCTCAAAGCACATCACATCTTGAGGGAACACAGAGCCCTTCCACATGAGCTACTGATCCCTGGAACGCCCACCATGCAAGGACAGTCCCTCCTGGCAAGCCCGTATCCTTTGTTTCCCTGCTTACATAAGCAAACCCCTCTCTGCTCGAGGCAACAGCAACTCCTTCCAGCCGGCCGCCACTGGACACACCCTGTAAGTAAGACCCAACAAGCCCTTTGTCTCATACGTCGTCTCTGGGCCTTTTCTTCGGTCTCTCCACAACCAATCCTGCACCGCTCGTGCACCCGGACATGCGGTCAGACAACTGGGTACTTCCTTGGACTAAAATGTTCTCTAACTGTCCAAGGAACTTACTCCCTCATTTTCTTTAAAGTTTCTCTAAAATATCTTCTAATGGAAGCCTGACTACTTTATTTTAAAATCTGTCCTTCCAAACCCTCTCCATACAACTTATGCAGCTTTATTTTTTCCATAGGAATTTTTCAACTTCTGACACAAACTAAGTTACTATTAAAAGTTTTTTTCTTCTTCCTCACTTTAACGTATGCTACATGATGACAGCTTTTTGTCTATTGTGTTCATTACTGTCTTACCAGTATCTAGAATAGTGCCTGGTGCATAGTAGGTGCTCAATTAAATGAATGGCACATGAACAAATATTTTGCACACAAGAATGCAAAATGTTACAACCACTATGGAGGGCAATTGTGCAGTATTTATCAAAATTAAAAATGCATTTAACCTCTGACCAGGTAACCCCATTTCTAGCATTTAACCTATAAGTATAACCTTTATGCGTATGAAGTTATTTAAACTCATTCACTGTAAACAACTTAAGCGTTTTTCCTAAGAAACTCCTAAGTACACTGAAAAAAATCAATGGTACTTTCACATAATGAATACAACGCAGCTGCCAAAAGAAAATGAAGTTCACTAAGTACTGATATGGAAGTGTCTAGAGTAAATTATGTGAAAAGAAGGAACAGAACAGGGTATATAGGATACAAACTGTTGGCTAGGAATTAGGATAAATGTATCCATATTTGCTTTCCTTTTCATAACTAAACAGTGGAAGGATATATGAAACAATTAACATGGCTTCCTATAGGAGGCAGAGGATGCTGGGGGTAGATGAAGAGAGGGATGGCAGTAGGATTTCTTAACACATGCCTTTTCAGTAGGGGATTCACCTCGCCCAAAGAAAGGTTTGGCTCTGGTCCAGCTCCTGGGAGTCAACCTCTAAGCCCTCGCATGCCCTGCCTGACAAGCCTCTCTCCCTTGGGGCCTTGGTCTATGCCAGACAGCCTATGCTAATCGTGTGATTTATGATAGGGGCCTTGGGCTGTGCACTATCAGTTTGACTCTGGAGACTAAGGTCAGCCATGCCGGGGTTCAGCCATGGCTATGTGACTGAATGCCAGTAAAATCTCTGGACAGCAAGGCTTGAGGGAGCTTCTGGTGGGCAGTGCTCCATGTGCAATGGCACATATTGCTGCTGGGAGGTAAGCAGCGTCTGCAGAACTCCACCATGAGAGGACAACTGAAAGCTCCCCTGGTCTCTCTGGGGCTCTGCCCTATGTGCGTCTCTTCCTTTGCTGATGCTATTCTCTATCTTTTTGCTGTAGGAAACCATAACCTTGAGTATAACGACTTTTCTGAATTCTGTGAGTCCTTCTACTGAATGACTGAACTTGAGGGCGGTCTTGTGAGCCTCCCAAAGTACAATAACTTTTTAGATTTTACAGCCTTATGGATAGATGACTTATGCAAAACAAAACCAAACCACTGACAGCTGGGGGTGCAGAGGACCCCCAGAGCACCAAATTGGTCCCTTCTACTTTCAGTAGTTAGAGAATGCTGTCAGCAGAAAATGCCAAGACCACACAGGAACCTAGAAATTCTAAATTTCAGATTAGGCCACCTAGAACACAACTTGTTCTTCTTTTGATCAGCAGTCTCTGTGTTAAAATAAAATTTCAAAAATAATAAAAATAGGAATTGTTGACATAACAGAATGACAACTTTAGAATCATGAGAATACTATGACCTAGGTTAAGAAAATACAGTAAAAGATATAAAACTATGAGTTTTTATGAAACTACAATGACAAAAATTAAATTAAGAAAAGTAGAAATGAATGCTAAACCTACGATCATTCAATAAAGTAGTTCAATAATCAAAATCTTGACTTTCATATGATTTTGTAGCCCCTCCAAGGCCCACATTATGAGTTTCAGAAAATCTACAAGTAATGGGTAATTTTCTCACATAAATTATTAGGAAAAACAAAATAAAGAAAATAAAGAGCAGGGAAGCATCCCAATTCCTTTTATGAGCCTATAAGCATGACAGCATTATTGGACAGCCATGTTAGAAAATCACAGGATGAATTAACTTGTGATACAGAAATAGAAATCCTAAAAATAGTATTTGGGAAAAGACTCCTGCAACATCTATAAGAAGCAACTCACCACACTCAATAGCTAGTAGGGTCTATACAGGAATTCAAGAATAGGCTCGTTAGAAAATCCATTATACCATTTACAATATTTATAAAGCAAATAAATTATACCTTCCTTTCAACAGACACAGAAAAAGTACTCAGTATAAGTCAATGCACATTTACAACTCGGTTGAAATCTAAAAAAACTGGAGGGAATCTACCCACCCTGACAAAGGTTACCCGCCAAGAGCCAAGAGCAAACATCACAGTTAATGGGGAAACTGTGTCTATTTTCCCTCAGGGTTGACTTGATCTCTATTCCTACTTTTCCATTTAATATACGGTTTCTTCTAAACCTCATAAATCCATTATAACACAAATGGGGAATGAGACCTGAGATGTGTCTCCTGGGAGAGTGTAGAGAACTGTGACGGTTCAGCTGAGGGGACAGAAAGAGGCCCGGGCTCACAAGATCTAGCCTGCCTTACAGCTCCTATGCTCACCTCCCAGAATAACAGCACTGCAGCTGGGGAGCAGCCTCCCTGTGGGAACAGGGCCCTCTGGGACTTGAAAAAGCATGGGAAGGGCCACGTAGAGACGGCACCACTTGTCCATGAGCAAATGTGAAATGATCATGGGATCTTGAACCTGCAGCTTTTCACTGGTTGAATATAAATTCTTTTTCTATTGATTTAGCAATAATTTATGTGTTCTTATGACTGATTAACATAAAAATGAAGAAAACAAAGGATTATTAAAATTAAAGTACACGACAGGATAAGGAAACAAGATAAAACTTTACTGTAGTGGATACAGAAAAGTATTCAATATAATGCAATGCACACCCATGACTAAAATCCAATCTATGCAAATGGCAATGGAAGGGAAGCTATTTACTCTTTCCTTAAAACTGATATGAGACGCTTTAAGGCAAGGTTTAAAAAAAAAAAACTTTTAACTGGGTTAAAACAGTTTCTCAGAAGGCCCCTTTGATAAGATGCTTTTGGTGACTTATCTGTGAGAGAGGGAACTGCAGTTTTCCTTCTGACTCTGTCACAAACCCGGTTTCCCTGGACAAGTCACTGAAACTTTCAGGCCCAATGTCTTTACAGTTTTCAAGAAGCTGCAAGTAGACGACTTCGGAAAATCCTTCAAGCATCATTATTCTGGGATCCTGCGAGGTCAGGATGATGTCATTAATGTCACATGTGGTGATGGACACGTCTGACAGCAGCGCAGCCTCTGTAAAGAGTGGGGGCCATTTAAGTGGACCAGAGCCAGAACCTCTTCCCTCTGCCTGGTTGTCCCTGTCCCCCGGACCTCACCCTCACAAGCTCCCCAACAAAGCAGCCTTTCCTGAGCAGCCTGCCCCTGGGCCACCCCAGCTCACCTGCTCTTCTCAGGGACGAACAAACCCCCCACTGTCACACAGTGTGGTGGCTCCTGAAGGTGGCATCATCATCAAGTCTGGCTCATTCTGGGCAAGGGGATCCGGGCTTCTGACCTTCCAAATCTAGGACCTGCTCTTTCTGGGCTCTTCTGTCTCTGCTCTGAAGCTCTGGAGAGAGGTCTAAGGTCAGAGGGGTGCTCTCCTCCAGGTAAGACTCCTGCACAGAGGCCCCTGCTTCCTGCCTCACAAGGGTTGCTTTGTTCAAGGAAACTGGGACATGGATCTGGGAAATAAATTCATTTTAGGGGCCAAAGCCTGACTCTTGAAATTCACTACAATATCAGACTTGAAGGACATCCTGTCAGCGCAGAAGGGGCCAGGCCCCTCTGTCTGACCCAAGGGACCTGAAGAGACACTAGAAACCCCAGGGTACATGTGACACATGGTGCGATTCCATCCACATCCCTTCCCTTACATCCCTGGGGATGTGGGGACAGGCCACGGTCCTAAGAGCCGGGAAGGCCGCAGTGCCAGTCTTGGGCAGCTGCGACATCACAAAGACTGAGACTGAAGGGAAGCCACCTGCCCTTGAACCCAAATCCCGCGCTGCGACCTCCCGACCGAGCACATCGGGCCACCGACCTGAGCCTGGGCGCTGGGGAAGCGGTCGTGAGGGCACATCAGGCCATCCAGCGACACCAACAAACTGACTTCCAACTACGGCAGCAGCTGTCCCTTACCCAGGGCTTCCTACCCGGCCCTCGTCTAAACACCGTACAACGATGACTCGGACCTAAGGCTCAAAACGACGCCATGAGACGGCGCTATTAACCTCACGTCCAGACGAGCACGCTGACCCAGGCCCTTCTGTCGCCCCTGCTCACAGGTGACAGAGCCAGGACTGACCGGGCCTTTCCGGCTCCGGAGCTCGGCTGCCCCGCAGACCCGGGCCCCGTCCGCGTTTTAACCGGCCTCCCGCCACCGACGTGGGCTTCCCTCGGGTCGGGCTGCAGGCGGGCCGGACACATGGCCCCCGCTCCTGACTGGCTCCACCGCACCTACGACGCCCCGGAACCCGAAGGCCGCGTCACCACCTGGGCCTGACACGCGTCGCGGGCGCCGAGGGGCGCCTCCTGGGGCCTTCTGAAACCCGGAGAACACCTGTGGGGAGGTGGGGAGAGTTCCCCAAGCCTCGCGAGGCCCCCGCCCCTCGGCCTTCTCACCCCAGTGCTCACACCACGCAGGCGCAAAGACAGCGAAACTCCGCGACCCTGGTCCCAGCGGAGCTGGGAGACCCGGGCGGAAGGAGGCGGAGCTAGGACTGCACATGCACGGAAGGAGCCAAGAGGACGGTGTGCGGAGTTCCGCGCCGAGCCAGCTGGAGGCAAGGCTGCGTTTTCCATCAACCTTGCTGCCCGACCTGAGGTGACTGTTAGGGTTTTTCTGCATTTTAAAAGCAACTGGAAGATGTGAGTGAAACTGAAATATGGTCGGGACGTTGGAAATGTTAAGGAAAATTACTCTTACTCGTTAATTATGAAAATAATGGTAGGATTATGTAGGAAAATTTTCTTAGTTTTAAAACTCATGCCTACTGAAGTATTTAGGATTGAAATTATGTATCTTTAATTTTACAAATTCTCAGCCAAAACAGGCAAATAAAATAGGACAAAGTGTGAAGATTTTGTAAATCGAGGAAATAGATATATATGGATGCTTATTTCATTGTCTTCTAATTTTCTGTTTGAAAAATTTTGTGCTACAATTCTTTTTAAATAAAATTTAAAAATATATGAATTTTCCTCCAGCAGTGTGCCTTTTAAACTTGAAACTGCCAAGAGAAGTCCAGGTAAATATCTCTTGGGACTAAAGCTGTGAAATGTAAATAAAACGGTAGGAAATGCATAGCATTACTCTGTCGACGAAAATAATCCATAACCAATCTATAAATGAAAATTTGGGAGAGTTTATTCTGAGCTAAAATGTGAGGACCATGGCCTGGGGCCTTTCTTCCCGAACCGAAGAAGTGGGGTGCACAGAGTGGTTATATACCCCCAGAGAGGATGTTTCACGTAGGATTGAAATGTCTCTTTCACAATAGTCGTGAGACTGCTCTGTCGGCACAGCGGTTGATGGACACAGCAGATAGGTCTGCTGTCTCCGTGATCATAGCAGGGTGGCAGGTCTGCTGCCTCGAGCTGGGTGGTCACAGGTGAGCTGGGTGGACAGTTCCTAGCCTAAGGAAAGATGCTTATCCCTAAGGAAATGCCAATGTGGGGGGAAGTTGCACCTTTATCTTAAGGCCATTTGTTCTGGCCATAGGAAATGTCTAAGCAGATATGCAATGCGTGCTCAACGCCACAGTCAGGCCCTTTTGAAAAAAACAAAGTCAGGCCGAATTAGGTTTACACCAAATGGCTTCCTCATATTCTCCAATATGTCCTATTGCTTGCCATTTCTATTTGTCAACTCTAAAATAATGGTGTCTGTGACCAAGACGTTTACCCCAGAAAAGAAAAAAAATCAAGATAGCTTTTCAGAAATAGAGAACTAAAACGCCAAAATACAACAAAAATAAGGAAATGGTTGTGCAAATCATGCATCTTCCAGAGATGGGCGTAATGTTATAGAAACACCTTTTTCCTCTGTCCGTGTATTGGGCCAGCAGTACTTGACGTTAACCGTTTCCTCCTGACGCGGTGGAGTTTCCGAGACGGACCCTGTGCGCGGTGGCGCAGCCGGAGCGCGGCCCTGAGAAGCGGGTGCGACCCCCGGCCGGCCCGCTCGGCGTCCGCGGGCGGGAGGGAGCCGGCGGGTGTGCGGCGCGTCCTGCCCCGCGCTCGGCCGACGGGGAGAGCGCCCCCGGTGGAGCCGGGCCTGGGGGTGACTGCGGCCGCTCCCCGGCCCCGCTGAGGGGCGTGTCGGTCCGTTTTGGCTGGGAACCAAGCGTTTACGGCGGTCGGTCCATTCCTGAGGGTCCTGGATCTGCCCTCCTAATCGCGCTGAATTTTCCGCTTTTGCAAAAATGGACCGTACTCAGTATCATGTGGGCTTCCTTTGGGAAAGACAAAAAACCCCGAAAACATGCACCTTTAACATGAAAGGTAAATGTGACAGTAGTGGCAGTCTAAGAAACTGACAACCCAACCGCACTTATTCGTTTTATGCAAACAGGATGCTTTTCATTTTTATGTACTCTTAGAAAATCAAGAGTATGCTTTGCAACTTGCTTTTTTTTATCCCCCTTAAGTCCTTGCTGAACGAGACTGTTAAATAAGCCTTGTTATTCCTTAAATACTTGATAGCGTTTTCCCTTATTTTATGTAAATACATTTAAGCATTTATTTTTAAATTCTAAATAAATGCTAAACTGATCAAAATTCCTCAGTGCCTGATGAGATAATGGCAGCTCCCTCTCACCTCTCAAACATAAGCAGAGTTAACTAGACTTTATTCAGTACAGACACAAACAAACACACATTTTTCAAAAAGCTCTATGTTTACTTACTCATTTTTACAGTTAACATTGTTTTGTGGTCCAGTTGTCTGGTCATGCTTTGTGGAACTATCTCATTCTTTTGCCTAGCAGCATATTATTCTAGGTAGGGATGTATCATATTTATTTAATCCTTTTTTGATGAATATTTAATTCCTTTCCAATTATTATCATAATATGCAGTGCATATCTTTGTCCATATATCTTTGCATATTTGTGTGATTTCTTTGGCACAAATGCCAAAAATATAGAATTTTTCCACTGAAATGTGTACACTTGTAAAAATTTGAAAGCTGTAAACAGTCTTCAAAAAGGATGTGCCAGCTTATGTTGTTTCCCCACACCCATTCCAAAACTGGGTATTATTAGAGAGGCTAATAAGTAATGTTGTATATCCATATTTTTATCGGGTGTGTATCATTTTTCTCTTTGATGTGTAAAAAGCTTTATAAATGAGCTCTTCCTCATGTGTTTCAATTATTCTGCAGTCTATCCTTGGCATTTTTCTTTGGGCATTACTTATAATTTTTTATTGTAGTTATTGTTCATCAAGTAAAAGTGTAAAGTTTTTACGTAGTCAGTCTTTTTTTGTTTGGATGCATTTAATTGATTTTGGAATTAGAATTGAAAGAGTAATGTAGGCTTTTGCCTCCCAAATTAATGTTGATACAGTGTTCCATAATTTATTTAATAACGCATCATTGTTTCTTTATTAATCTGAAAACGTTTTTATTACATATTAAAGTCCAAATGGACTTGGATCTACATGTGGACTCTATTTTGTTTTGTTGATCTGTCTATTGTTGCACTATTCCTTTATTTTTGGAATTTTTCCTGGCTGTTCTCACATGTTGTCTATCAAGATAAATTTTAGAATAAGTATTTAGGGTCCAACCTATAAAAAATTGTGTTTATATTCTGATTAGCATTCTATTAAATTAATATGAATTAATTGGTGAGAAAGGACATCTTTACAAAAGTAGTGACATCTTCCTAAGAACAATATGGTGTCTCCACTTATTCAAGTCTCGTTAAACCCCTCAATATAGGCAACCAGGTTCTACATACAGATGCACATATAGATAAACATTTCTTATTAGGTTTGTTCTATTCAATTTGATTCTTCTTTTTGTTGTAAATAAAATTTTTAATATATTTTTGAACACGCTCTTATTTGCCTATAGGAAAACTGTTGGTTTTCATACATTACATAACATTTTTTCTTGCTGAATTCTTTTATTGTTTCAACTACTTTTTGTGAATTATCTTGGATTTCAATGTCTGTAATGACAAGTTTGCCTGCTTTTTAATAACATTTATAATTTTAAAAATTCTTTAATGAATTCCAAAAGTAAGCCCATAAAAGTTTGTTGGTGCTATATTAAATCAGTTTTAATACAATAAAATACATTCTTAAAATTAACTTCAGAGATTGGAGAGACTTCTGGCTATGGTAACGTGAAGAGATGGGTGAATTCTTTTGCCAAACACAAGTATAAAGGTAGACAAAGTTGCCAAACACAACTATATTGGGGCTCTAGAAATTGATCCAAGGTAAACAACAAGCTGAGAAATATTTATTATGAAAATGTGCTGGAAATTCGGGTAAGAACAGTGAGAATCTGAGGTTTTCTTGTTTGGGGCTGCTCCCATTGCCTCCTTCCAGGCAGTCAGAGAGAGCTTAGTTTTTCTAAGGTGAATGTACAAGTCAAGATCTGGTCCAGAGAGAAAAACCACACAGTAATTTGAGCAGGAAAATTTATTATAATAAATTATTAGCTATAAGGAGGGATTGGAGTAACAAAGTATTAGCTAATAAAAAGTAAAGAGAACTCTAAAAAATATCAGAACAGCAGGAATACAAGAAGTAGGCACTAGCCTTGAGGCTGAGACAGAGTGCCCAGCGAAGACCCCTCCACCCATCCCCCTGGCTGAGAACCAGACCTTGTTGGAGGGAGCACAGCTATGGCTCTCTGAATGGCAGAGAAGTCATAATGGTGCCACACCAAAGGAGCTTGCTGGAAAAAATCTGCCCTCTGGAGCTTTCTGAAAACCTGCTGTCGAAAGAGTGGAGGAAGCCGTTCATGGAGTGGTGTCTCACTAAAGGCATCCACTACAAATCTGCCTGAAGGCTTAACAGGGAAAGCTGCCGGCTGCTGGGTGCTGCTGCCACTGTATGCTGTGTGAACTGGATGCTGGAGAAGCTGTGCATGCTGCAGGTGTCTGGTGCTGTACAAGATGCGTGCACTGCAGGAGTGGCTGCTGGAGAAGCCATGCACGCTGCAGGCGCTGCAAGCTGGGAGCCTGCCACCTGAACAGGAACTTGGAAGGAAAATTCCTTCCTCCTGCAATGTGTCTCTGGCCTCCACTACTGACAAAGCTTAAACATCATGCCAAATGGCAAAGGAAGACTGTTTAAATGGCCCAGATCTATTTTTACAATCACCCAATGAAGGATGAATTTGGACCTAAGAGGCAATAAATTGATAATGGACACATTGGCCGTGAAAACCAGCAACCTTGCTGCTAGAGGGAGCATATATGATTTGGTGCTGAGGGCAAAAACCCACACTGGCAGGTTTGTCAGACAAAGTAGCAAACTTTAGGAAACAAATGGAGAGAACCCACAGCTTTGCTAACCTGAGGTTGCAGTCCCCATTGGGGCAAGTGGTGAAACAGACAGAAATTTCATGGAGAGATTCTGGAAAATAGATAGTTATAGGAGGGCTGGATAAGCCTCACCCCTGGCTACCTGTAAGCCTACATGTATGCTCCGGGGAGAACCAAGAGAGCTGAACGTAAAGTGAAAGTCAAGGCGGTCTTGGGAACTGGCTGAACTCTGAGTGCACTCTCTAAACCACACACAGATCTATAGGCAGAGGGGGCAAGCCTTATGGGCTCAAGGTGTTAACTATAGTTCCTGCCCAAATCACTGGCTGACCACCAAGGAGGCAGACACCTGGGCAACTTCAA